GCGCCCCCGGGGTCCCCGCCCGGGGCCGGGGGGTCCCCGAGCCCCCCCCGGGGGTCGCCGGAGCCGCCGGAGCCGCCGGAGCCGCCGGAGCCGCCGGAGCGGCCGCTGCACCTGGCGCAGAAGCAGGGCACGGCCGCCGTGTGCGGGGACACCAGCGACGAGGAGGAGAGCGGCGGAGAGGGAATCTTCCGGGAGAGGGACGAGTTCGTGGTCAGGGTGGAGGATATCCCCGCCCTCAAGGTGAGACTGGGATGGACTGGGACGGACTGGGAGGGACTGGGAGTCACTGGGATGGACTGGGAGGGACTGGGATGGACTGGGAGTCACTGGGAGGGACTGGGAGTCACTGGGAGGGACTGGGAGTCACTGGGGAGAGGGAATCTTCCGGGAGAGGGACGAGTTCGTGGTCAGGGTGGAGGATATCCCCGCCCTCAAGGTGAGACTGGGATGGACTGGGAGGGACTGGGATGGACTGGGAGTCACTGGGAGGGACTGGGATAAACTGGGAGGGACTGGGAGGGAACTGGGAGGGACTGGGAGTCACTGGGAGGGACTGGGACAAACTGGGATGTACTGGGAGGGACTGGGACGGACTGGGAGTCAGGACATGGCATTGGGAAAGGAACTGGGAGCACTGGGAGGGACTGGGAGGGAACTGGGAGGGACTGGGAGGGAACTGGGAGCACTGGGAGGGACTGCATGAGGAATTAGGGTTGAGCTGGTGTTGAACTGGGATTGAACTGGGATTGAACTGGGGTTTAACTGGGATTGAACTGGATGGATTTGGGGTGGATTTGGGGTGAATTTGGAGCGGATTTTGGGCAGATTGGGTGAAATTGGGATGGATTTGGGGTGGATTTTGGGGTGGATTTAGGGATGAATTTGGGGTGGGTTTGGGCAGTTTTGGGTCAGACTTGGGGTGGATTTTGGGATGAATTTGGGGTTGATTTAGGAATGAATTTGGGGTAGGTTTGGGCAGTTTTGGGTCAGATTTGAGCAGATTTGGGTCAGATTTTGGGGTGGATTTAGGGATGAATTTGGGGTGGGTTTGGGCAGTTTTGGGTCGGATTTGGGCAGATTTGGGTCGGATTTTGGGGTGGATTTAGGGATGAATTTGGGGTGGGTTTGGGCAGTTTTGGGTCAGACTTGGGCAGATTTGGGTCGGATTTTGGGGATGATATAGGGATGGATTTGGGCAGATTTGGGTCGGATTTTGGGTCAGATTTGGGCGGATTTGGGTCGGATTTTGGGGTTGATTTAGGGATGGATTTGGGGTTGATTTTGGGCAGTTTTGGGTCAGACTTGGGCAGATTTGGGTCGGATTTTGGGTCAGATTTGGGCGGATTTGGGTCGGATTTTGGGGATGATATAGGGATGGATTTGGGCAGATTTGGGTCGGATTTTGGGATGGATTTGGGCAGATTTGGGTCGGATTTTGGGTCAGATTTGGGCAGATTTGGGTCGGATTTTGGGGATGATATAGGGATGGATTTGGGCAGATTTGGGTCGGATTTCGGGATGGATTTGGGCAGATTTGGGTCGGATTTTGGGTCAGATTTGGGCGGATTTGGGTTGGATTTTGGGGTTGATTTAGGGATGGATTTGGGGTTGATTTTGGGCAGTTTTGGGTCGGATTTGGGCAGATTTGGGTCGGATTTTGGGGATGATATAGGGATGGATTTGGGCAGATTTGGGTCGGATTTTGGGGTGGATTTGGGCGGATTTGGGTCAGATTTTGGGGTTGATTTAGGGATGGATTTGGGGTTGATTTGGGGCAGTTTTGGGTCAGATTTGGGCGGATTTGGGTCGGATTTTGGGGTTGATTTAGGGATGGATTTGGGCAGATTTGGGGTGGATTTTGGGGTGGATTTGGGCGGATTTGGGTCGGATTTTGGGTCAGATTTGGGCGGATTTGGGTCGGATTTCGGGGCGCTGACCCCCGTCTCCCCAGCTGGCGCTGCAGACGGGCCGGGAGCCGCCGCCCATCTGGCGGGTGCAGAAGGCGCTGCTGCAGAAATTCACCCCCGAGATCAAGGACGGGCAGCGGCAGTTCTGCGCCACCAGCAACGTGAGTGGCACCCCAAAAACACCCGAAAAATACCGGGGACACCCCAAAAAAATCCCCAAACCCGTGGGGATAACCCTGGGGTGGAAAACCCCACCCAAGACATGGGGTGTGACCCTGAAATCTGAGATTTTCCCCCAAAAATCATTGGGATTTTACTAAAAATGGAGGATTTGGGACCTCTCCCCAATTTTGGGGCACCCCAAAAACTCTCGGGTACCCCTAAAAATACTGGGGACACCCCAAAAAATACCGGGGACACCCCAAAAAAATCCCCAAACCCGTGGGGATAACCCTGGGCTGGAAAACCCCGCCCAAGACATGGGGTGTGACCCTGAAATCTGAAATTTTCCCCCAAAAATCATGGGGATTTTACTAAAAATGGAGGATTTGGGACTTCTCCCCAATTTTGGGGCACCCCAAAAAAATACCGGGGACACCCAAAAAAACCCCAAAAGTACGGGGATAACCCTGGGGTGGAAAACCCCGCCCCAAATTTGGGGTGTGACCCTGAAATCTGAGATTTTGGGGTGGATTTTTGGGAGGATTTTGGAGTGAATTTTGGGGTGGATTTTTGGGATTTTAGGGTAGATTTGGGGTATTTTGGGGTGGATTTTTGGGATTTTGGGGTGCCCTGACCCCCTCTGTGCCCCTCCTGCAGTATCTGGGGTATTTTGGGGATGCCGAGCACCAAAACCTGGGGGTACCTGGGTGGTTTTGGGGGGATTTTTCAGGTTTTTTGGTTATTCTGGGGTGGTTTTTGGGTGGATTTTGGGGTGGATTTTTGGGATTTTGGGGCGCTGAGGATTTTGGGGTGCCCTGACTCCCTCTGCCCCCCCCGCAGTACCTGGGATATTTCGGGGATGCCAAGCACCAAAACCTGGGGGTACCTGGGTGGATTTTGGGTATTCTGGGGTGGATTTTGGGGTGGATTTTTGGGATTTTAGGGTGGATTTTGAGTATTTTGGGGTGGATTTTTGGGATTTTGGGGCGCTGAGGATTTTGGGGTGCCCTGACCCCCTCTGTGCCCCCCCCGCAGTACCTGGGATATTTTGGGGATGCCAAGCACCAAAACCTGGAGGAACCTGGGTGGATTTTGGGTATTCTGGGGTGGATTTTGGGGTGGATTTTTGGGATTTTAGGGTGGATTTTGGGTATTTTGGGGTGGATTTTTGGGATTTTGGGGCGCTGAGGATTTTGGGGTGCCCTGAGCCCCTCTGTGCCCCCCCCGCAGTACCTGGGGTATTTTGGGGATGCCAAGCACCGGTACCAGCGGCTCTACGTGAAGTTCCTGGAGAACGTCAACAAGAAGGATTACGTGAGGGTCTGCTCCCGGAAACCCTGGCACCGCCCGCTGGCACTCAGGTACGGCTGGCACACCTGGGCACACCTGGGCACAGCTGGGGACACACCTGGGCATAGCTGGGCACACCTGGGGACACACCTGGGCACACCTGGACACAGCTGGACACACCTGGGCACACCTGGGGGCACCTGGGCACACCTGGGGACACCTGGGCACACCTGGACACAGCTGGACTCACCTGGGCACACCTGGGGGCACCTGGGCACAGCTGGGGGAACATGGGGACACACCTGGGCAGAGCTGGGAATACACCTGGGCACACCTGGGCACACCTGACACCTGGGAATACACCTGGGCACACCTGGGGGCACCTGGGCACAGCTGGGCACACCTGGGGGAACATGGGGACACACCTGGGCAGAGCTGGGAATACACCTGGGCACAGCTGGGGACACACCTGGGCACAGCTGGGCACACCTGGGAATACACCTGGGCACAGCTGGGCACACCTGGGCACAGCTGGGCACACCTGGGAATACACCTGGGCACACCTGGGGGTACATGGGGACACACCTGGGCACGCCTGGGAATACACCTGGGCACACCTGACACCTGGGAATACACCTGGGCACACCTGGGAATACACCTGGGCACACCTGACACCTGGGAATACACCTGGGCACACCTGGGCACGCCTGGGAATACACCTGGGGGAACATGGGGACACACCTGGGCAGAGCTGGGAATACACCTGGGCACAGCTGGGGACACACCTGGGCACACCTGGGCACAGCTGGGGACACACCTGGGCACAGCTGGGCACACCTGGGAATACACCTGGGCACACCTGGGAATACACCTGGGCACACCTGGGGGTACATGGGGACACACCTGGGCACACCTGGACACAGCTGGACTCTCCTGGGCACACCTGGGGCACACCTGAGGACAGCTGGGCACACTTGGACTCACATGGCACACGTCTGGGCACACCTGGGCACAGCTGTGGGCACAGCTGGGCACATCTGGACTCACCTGGGCACACCTGAGGGTACCTGGGCACAGCTGTGGGCACACCTGGGCACACTTGGCCACACCTGGGCACACTTGTGGGCACACCTGGGCATACCTGGGCGCACCTGGGCACACCTGGGCACACCTGTGGGCGCACCTGAGCTCACCTGAGCACACCTGGGCACACTTGTGGGCACACCTGGGCACAGCTGTGGGCACACCTGGGCACACTTTTGGGCACACCTGGGCACACTTTTGGGCACACCTGAGCTCACCTGAGCACACCTGGGCACACTTGTGGGCACACCTGCGGGCACACCTGGGTACACCTGGGCACACCTGTGGGTGCACCTGAGCTCACCTGAGCACACCTGGGCACACTTGTGGGCACACCTGGGCACAGCTGTGGGCACACCTGGGCGCACCTGGGCACACCTGGGCACACTTTTGGGCACACCTGGGCACACTTTTGGGCACACCTGAGCACACCTGGGCACACCTGGGCACACTTGTGGGCACACCTG